TGAGCCAAAGTCATAACATTGTTGGTGTCACGGACGAGCATCCACCACCGTCTAGCCTCTTCTTGTAGAGTAAAGGTAGCCAGTAATACCTTATGTACTTCAGAACACGGAAACACTTTGAACAATTTCTCAGTCTCTAGAACCCATGCTTCAGCCTTTAATGGTTCAAGGCCTCCTTAGAATGATGGTGGTTTCATTTTGCTAAACTTCTGTGTCAGAGCAATTATATCATCATTAACATTTGGTTCTGACTGTACTGGAGGAGGTGGGGGCTGTTGGTTCTGTTGTTGTCTTAAAGCTTCGGTCAATAGTTCAACCGTTCTTTCTAACCTTGCCATTCTTGCCTCAAATGATTCAGATTCATCGGCATTTCTTGCGTTGTCCATTTTACTATAGGCAATATGGTAATAATAAGCATAGGAAGTTGCTGACTTAAGCATATTAGCACATTAGCACATGTATTCATGTCATGGCCACACACATTTTTATCAATGCTCATGCAATGCCCTAATCACTTTTTTATGACATCCTATAGCTCATTTGGACATGTGTGTGCGGTATAACTCGTGGTTTAGTATCGCTCTGATACCACTCTGTCACAACCCAAACCCGCCCCTATGCGTTTAGCACCGTAACCGGCCAGTAATCCGTGATTACCGAAGGCCTACTTAATAGTAATGACAGAAATACAGAGTAAAGGGGCTGGCGGAAGCCAAAACAGTAAATAAAAGATGTCCAATGAGTTGTGACAGTCTGAATGCAAAAAGACTTTTTGTAAACATGCCACATTAATAACCAAAACATATGTACATGCGACATATACACAAACATCCATGTCAAGGACCAAATCTCTAACTATAACTGTATAGTCAAGTCTTATCGTTTATTACAAAGCGGAAACAAAATGGTGAATTCGAACACCCCAAAACAGTCGTGGCTTGAACGGACTTGGAACCTCGAGGCGAGGCACAAAGGTTGGCTTGACAAAACAAGAGCTAACCCGACGCTCCTAGCTCCGGTCCGGTATCTGGACACCTACATATATATATATATATATATATAAAAACAGTGAGCTAAAGCCTAGTGAATAACAGTTATGTAAAGAGGTTAAGAATGAATATCCTTTCAGTGATTAAACAGTCATATCAGCCACTTAGAAACCATAACAGTCATATGTGGTGCATCCCATAGCAAAACAGTACAGTAGGTCTTAACAGACCGAACAGTCAGTTGATGGCCATCATAACAGTAACAGTAGTGGTTCCAAACATGGGAACCGACAGAGATCTCTGTGACAGTAACAGTAACAGTAACAGTAAATTGTTATGGTTGCCACGGATACAATTTACAAATCGGACAAACATTCATTCATTAAACAATAATGTTTCAATAAGCAAAACAGTTGATCATTCAGAAAATAATCATAATTGAACATATCTTTACAACATTGTTATTCACAGAGCATTGGGTTATAGACAGCTAATGAGCGTCCTCGGATGCCAACCCTACAATTGCAGAACGAACACACATTCGGGATTAATAACTTAGCCCCTAATTATACCGGTGTAGTTTTATAACAATATCCTCATTAAGATGCCTTAAACTAGGCCTAGGAATGCCTAGGATGGAATGAAGATGCAAAAATGCACTTTAAAACACTTTTCAGAATTTTTCAGAAAACAGGGGTCTCGCTCGAGCATGGCTTTCTACGCTCGAGCGAGATTTCCAAAACAGAGGGGTCGCTCGAGCGTGGACTTCCTCGCTCGAGCGGTCTGTAAAAATGCAAAAAGTGCTGGATGTTAAAAATCTCCGTTCGATGCTCGCTCGAGCGTGAGACATGTTCTTCGCTCGAGTGTAGATCTCGTCGCTCGAGCGTGCATCTGCGTGCACCAAAAATTTGAGAGCTTGCAATCTATGCTCGAACCAGCATTCCTTCGCTTGAGCGGAGCTCTGAACAAAAGAGGGTCGCTCGAGCGTGGAAGCCAAAATATGGAATTTCTAGATTTGCCTCCCAAGCTCAAACCAAGCATTCAATACTTCAAAACTCAACCTTTTGGGCCAATTTTCTGGAAAACACTTGAAAACTCATAGTATAACATGTCTTTGAAGATCAATTTGCAAAATCAAAGCCCAAGGGTGAGTCAATTTGAACACAAATTCAAATGTAAATATGAAGAACAATTCAAAATCATACATGCATGAGTTCCCATGAGCTCTAATACTCTAAGACATGATAAAATGCAAGATTGAGCTCAAGAATATGACCAATTCATGGATCAAAACCAAAATAGAAACATGCATGTGGGAATTTCATGAAAATGACTTCAAAACACTATGATATAGACATGCATGCACACGATGCCTCATAATTCAACACTTTGAGCTAAAACTTAACTCTAATCTCCAATATTTCTATGAACCTTGCAAGATACAACTTAATTTCATAAATAAAAGGATGAATTCTCTACCTTATGTCTTAAATTTCAAGTATGGAAGTCTAATTTTGCAATCTCACTTCAAGTCTTCTAATTCTCCAAGACAAATCTCAAATGAAGTCAAGTTCCTCCTATCTCTCTTTCTCTCTCACGGTTTGTCTCAAGAAGATGAACAAATGAGGTAGAAATAAGCTCTAAACAAGGTTTAACAAAGTGGCCCACTTCAATGGCACAAATGTAATTACTTAGGTTCAATGAGTTTAACATTATTTAATCTAATTTAATCATTCCAAATCAAATTTTAATTAAAGCCATCATAAAATCACATAAATTCTAATTAGCACATAATACTAATCAATTTATGATTCGGTCGCCAATAAGACCTTCAATTCGCAGTTCAAAGATAAAACATGAACAGATCATTTAATGACTAACAGATAGAAATGCAATTAAACAACATACTCATGCATTCAGTTCAGAATTTCAGTCTGTTCATTTACTTATCATGCTCAATCAGAGATTAGCACTAATCAGAGGTGAGGGTTGTCACAATAATACATCAATTTGATAAAGTTCCCGTAATTGTAATACATGAGTTACGTTGTCAGAAGTGTTGTGTTACACTGCCATGTATAACGATTATTGTACGACGTGTGCATCATACTGGGACATATGTGAATATTTGTTCATAGGTGTTATAGTCTTAGCGGTGTTTTGGAAAGATGGTTAAAAGTTGACTTTTGACTTTTTTTGGCTTTTTTGTGAGAGAGGGAAGTGAGTTAAAAGCTGGGAAGTGGCTTTTAACCCACTTCCCAAAACACCCCTTAGTACATGAAGTACGTTACCAAAAAGTGTTGTGTTACTTTTGTAATATGTGGTCACATATTGTCTTGAAAAATTGGTTCAACGGACGTGCTACTTGGAAATGTGTTTCAACGGTTTTCTTGCATATAAATTTAGGTAAAGTAATAAATAATAAAAATGCAATGTGTCTGTGATAGGCATCATTGCGGACTTGTTAGCCATTGGTGGCACGTTTAATATGAAATTGCATTACCCAGAACAAGCATCACGTGATTTGTGTTGTACTTTGGAAAATGTATTCATCAGTGTACATGTGGTTTTGGGATCATCAGAACACTTGCATAGTTAGCACGTGAGTTTGCATTACTCCGAGATCAGGTGCATTTGCCTTAACAGCGCATGTAATGCCTACTATCCGCAGCTCACCCATAATTGTAACAAATAGCAAAACTACGTTTCTACCCTTGTGTGGTCGTGTTGACATAGCTGCAATTCCTGTGCAATATTTGCATTTCAAATATATATATATATATTTTTGTATATACTTCTGCAACTTTTTGTGTGGCTCACCGTGTGCCACGTCGATGCAGCCAAGGTTATGGGATGGTGATGTAAGGGTAGGGAGAAGTGTTTCAAGGAGGAATGAGGTGAGAGCTGCGTGATGTGTTCACTTTAATAATTGTCATCTGACAGAAATAGTCCAAAAACAAGGGCAAAAGTGTCTTTTTGCAGCCTGAATTTCCCCCTCCCCCCACACTTCCTGCCAAAACAAGTAATAAGTATAGATTTTTTAAGCTTTTTTTAGTAATTTTTTGGCTTTTTGTACTACGGTTGGTTGTATTAAACAAGGCCTATATATACAAGGAAGGGCATTTTGGTCATTTTACCTGAGCTTGTCCTTTTGGACAAAATGTTTCAGAGCCCTAGACCTTTGGGCAAATAAAATTAAAATTTAGGCCTTATTTGTCATAATCTAAAAAAGTCAAAAAGCTAAAAAGTCACTATCCTATTTAAATTACATTATCTTATTTAAATCACATCATCTCTCTATCACATCATTTCAAACCCAACCCGTACCCAACCCATATTTCATAAAAAGTCAAAAAATACATTTATTTAGATCATCCAAGAACTGTGTGTCCTTTTTAAAATTTGTTTAAAATATAAATTCTTTATAGTTTTATAAATTATATCTCTAATCTTAAAGTTTTTAATTTCATAAAAAATAGTCTTTTTTATTAATAAATTATTAAGTCAATTAATAATTTTTAATAATATTATAAATTAATTTTAATTAATAATTTAGATAATTTTATTTTGTTTGGCAAGATATGGGGTTGGGTTTTTTATTTTATTTTTTCCACTAAAAGATAAAATTTTTACAAAATTTTAAAAAAAAAAATCCAAACAAAATATCACATCTAATCGCATAATTATTTCATTTTTTCTCTCATAAATATCACATCAAACCACAAAAAATCCAACTATCTTCCTAAACATCAAAATTTTTTTTATCTAATAATATCCTACAACTAAAAAAACTTACATAAAAACTCACTTTCCAAACACTCACATTGTATAAGAGAAAAATTATCAATTTTATTTTTAATTAATTCAGTTAAATTAAAAATTATGACAATGAAATTTATAATTTTTTTAATTATAGGATAGTTTCTATTTTAAACAAATCTCAGATTTATTTGTAATTTATCAAAAAAAAAAAAAAAAGAAAGAAAAAGGACAAACCCTAACCTAAAACCCTCGTTTTCCGTTGTCCGTTCTTCTCCATGATCATCGCACAGAGTGTCAGATCACCACCGTGAAGCAGCGCCATCGGACCACCGCCACACACAGAGCCACCACAACACGCCGCCGCGAAAAGCACCAGATCATCACCCACCACCACCACCCCCTCTATCGACATCTTTTCTCTCGTTATTCTCTGTCTCTCTCTCTCTGGTTCTGGATATAAATTTATTTTCTCTTCATGTTTTGTTGCTTAGAAATTGGAAAGAAGTTGATTTCTGAATATGCTAGTACAACAAACTTACTCAACTTCTTAGTATTATGGAAGCTAAACTAACGCCTATTATTCTTTTCTTTTCTTGGCAACTAAAAAAAGGGCCGCCTAGAATTGTTCTTTGATTAGAGTTTTTATCTATTAATTTTTTTTATTGTGAATGTATTAGTAGTTGTAGTAGATAGTAATGGCTGCAATTAGGTTTTCAAGATTGAAATCACTCTGTTCTTCTATTAACCCCTCTTCAAGAATTCAATTTTGTCATACGAAGATTGCGAAATACTATGACTATGTTGATGTTAGACCCTCATTTGCTTATATAAACCATAATTATCACGAAACAGAATCTGGGCTTACTCAGAATTACTTCAAGGATGGTTTTGGAATGAGGGGGGTGGAATCTCTTGTTGGTAGGCAATATAACAGGATCAATTTTGTCACTGCATTTTCGCCAACACGGTCCAATTTGAGTTTAAGGCATAATGTTTTGCCTATTGGAATCGTTCCTGCGTTGAATTACCGGTCCTATTCGTCATCTTTCGGTGGCAAAGGGGATAAAGCGAGGGACCAGGAAGTTTCAGCGGCTTCAGGTGCAGGTGAGCCCTCTGTTAGTGAAAGTGGTGTAGGTGGAAGTGATTGGGTTGATATGGTTAAGGATGCTTGGCAATCAGCAATAGATGCAATGACTTATACTGGGGAAAGGGCTAAAGAAGTCTCTACTGAATTGTCTCCTTATGTTCAAAACTTGCTTGATTCACATCCCTATCTTAGAGATGTTATTGCTCCAGTTGGTGGTACTTTGACTGCAACTATATTGGCTTGGGTGGCGATGCCGAGGCTTTTAAGAAGATTTCATAAGTACTCATCGCAAGGCCCGGCTGCATTATTATCCGGGACCACGTTCTGGGGGTCAGTTCCTTATGAGAAAAGCTTTTGGGGTGCTTTGGAGGATCCACTGCGATATCTGATTACTTTCATGGCATTTTCACAAATGTTAGTACCACTCTTTGTAATACTTAGATTTACATCTGCTTATTATGGTTTTAATTTTGAGTTCTGATATGTTTGTGAAACCTCTTCTTAATTCTTTCTCTATGCAGAGGCATGATGGTGGCACCAACAACAATTGCATCACAATATATTGCACCAGTTTGGCGGGGCGCTATTATTGTTGCATTTGTTTGGTTTTTATATCGGTGGAAAACCAATGTGATTTCTCGTGCTTTGGCTTTTAGAAGCATAGCAGGGGTTGATCGGGAGAAGTTGTTAACTCTGGACAAAATTTCATCTGTTGGTCTATTTGTCCTTGGATTGATGGCTTTAGCTGAGGCATGCGGGGTGGCCGTGCAATCTATTTTGACAGTTGGTGGCATTGGAGGTGCGTTTTAAAGTGATTGTGAAAGTGCATGTGAAATGACTAATTCTTTCCTAATAGGAAATATATTGCAAAGCAACTCTACAATTAAAAGTCATCAACTTGTTTTTGCATTTCTCTTACTTAATTTTTTTCTCCATTTATTATTATTATTATTATTATTATTATTATTATTATTATTTTGTATGTATTGAAAATTTTAGATTTAACATTTTCTTTTGATTGCTATAGCCCATTGTTGTCCTTAAATTTAAATATGAAGTTTGTGATTGCAAGTTCTTAAATGTAGAAAATATTTTATGATTGATGAGTTACATTGATATTATTTTGTCTTGAAAATTGCTTCATTTGGTCTGTTTGAAGAACACATGAAGTTCTTAACACATCTATTATTATTTTTAATTCTAACCAATTATATAGGTTCTGGTTTTTTAATTTTTGCATTCTATTTTACTCCCAATCATCATTTAATTTAATGAAATCTCTAATGCTCATTTGCAACTTCTGTCCACGTCTAGTTGAGAACTAGGATCAAAATACTCGTACTTTTGTGCTATCTGTTGTATTTAAGATTTCAAAACCCTCGTTTTCC